CCCTTTTCTTCCACCCTGACTACTTGAGAGACCCTCTGTAACTCGGCGCGGAGGGAGTTGTATGTAGGCCTCTCCATTGTGCAGGCATGAATAACATCAATCACGGGTGCTACCTCAGTTGGCACCTCGGCTCGCTCCCTCGCCGACCCGCCGAGACGACCCCTGTCGATGAATTCCCCAAGGTGTTTGTCTCGCACCAATTATTCGAGGAATGATTTATAAACCTTACAATCCTTCGTCAAATGACCGATATCTTTATGATACGAACATCAGAAGACCGCATTCCTTGTCGACGGGTCTCCAAACATACTTGGGGGCCACTTGAAGTAGGGTTTGTTTTTGATTTTGGGAAGTATCCTGTGAATGGGTTCGTTGAAGACCGTGTTCACTCCCTGGAAGGATAGGCGGGTTGGGGGTGGAACAGGCCCTCCCTTTCGGGTCGATTGCTCCCTTTTCCTTTTACTCGGCACCATGACCCTGCTCTCGGGCGCAACTGATTCTTCTTCCACCCTAGCATATTTGTTAATCCGAGTCATCAAGTCTTTCATGTCCGCTGGAGCCTTCTTAGTCAACGATTTATACAAATCAATGTCCCGGGACAACCCCAGCCTAAATGACGCCGCGACCAATGCCTCCGAACATGCTTCCACCTCGTTCATTTCATCCCAATATCGGACGACATATTGTCAAAGTGTCTCTCCCTCTTTTCGCCTAAGCGTCAACAGAGCGTCGATGTCCTTCGATTTCTTATTGCTGGTGANATTGTCGTAGTGTCTCTCCCCCTTTTCGCCTAAGCGTCAACAGAGCGTCGATGTCCTTCGATTTCTTACTGCTGGTGATTAATCGAGCTATAAAGAGCTCTATCAATTGTTTCTAGGACCTAACGCTCTCATGAGCAAGATTCTCATACCACCTCATGTTTGTGTCCCTTAGGCTCATGCGAAAAACTCGGCACAACACCCTTTGGTCAGTATCATAGATTGACATCAATTGTCTGTATTACCGAATATGGCTCTCAGGATCGATTTTTCCATCGTATACCTTGAACCGTGGGACGGTAAAATTTTTTGGCATTTCAGCCTCCCTGATAGCCCGGACGAACGGCGAAATAACTTCGTCGGAGTAAACTGCGGGCTCGTTGTTGCGCTGAGTGATGAAGGGGACTCGAGGATCTCTNTAGGGGGACCCGAACCCGCGACTATGTTCACCCGCGCTCGCTGACTGCTCAAAATCATCAAGACATTGCTAGACCTTGACGTTTTCCCTTTCAAGCTATTTAATGTGTTTGCCCATCCGCTTTTCCACTATCCCAACGATGTCATGGGCTANAAAATCATCAAGACATTGCTAGACCTTGACGTTTTCCCTTTCAAGCTATTTAATGTGTTTGCCCATCCGCTTTTCCACTATCCCAACGATGTCATGGGCTATGAGGTCACGCCCCCCAAGGCCCTAATCCATAGGGAGCGTTCTTTGCGAAGAATGCCCCACCCCATCTGATTGGCCCAATGAACTTGGCTACTAAACCATTGGAAGCCGGACAGGCTCTGTGTTCCTGGCCCATACACTTGCTCCCTCACCCTGAGATCGAGTGTTCACCATCAGACGATCGCTACCGGGAAAAATGCCTTTGTTTCCCATAGACGGCGCCAAATTACACAGGATANCGGACGGGCTCTGTGTTCCTAGCCCGTACACTTGCTCCCTCACCCTGAGATCGAGTGTTCACCATCAGACGATCGCTACCGGGAAAAATGCCTTTGTTTCCCATAGACGGCGCCAAATTACACAGGATAATTTCTGCAATAGTATGAGACAGTGATCTCCAAGCTGGCGAGCCTGAAATAACGGGGTCAAAAAAAAGGGGGTCAGGCGAGGGCCCAGCTAATCCCCTCCGAAGCTTAAGTCAGTATAAAGTCGAAAGGTTTTGCTCAATGGACTATTTTTCTGATTCAAGTTTGAGTACCTTTGTCCATTTTTTTAGGAGTATTTATACCTAAATTAGCAATGATTACCAAAGATCTTCATTCTCATCTGAACATCTTACATCTGACACATCATTCCTCATGCAATGAGTATTTTTTACTCACGTCTCCTCCTATTGAATGCTAGGAAAATGGGGTAAATGCTCGGCTAAATACCGAGCATTCATGCCACTCCCCGAGTACCCAAATTCCCTAGATCGGCATCCGACATCAACTAAGCATTGAATACTCAGGGGGAACAGTTCCTCGGGAGAGCCAATCGCGTCATCTCGGAGCATCAGCCATTAATGCTTAGTCATCATGACAGTAGGCTTAGACTCCTAGAGGGCATGTACTGGCAGGCTCACATTTATTTGTCTTGTCACTTTCACTCATTCCACCATAAATGAGAGGTCACATCACATTAAATACGATGTCAACTGTCGTACCCGGCTACTCAGTGTCACTATACCTCGGCTTACTTCCTCAGCGTCCTTTGGATATCCCAATGGCTTCATTATTCCATGTGTCGACCCGGGAACTGTAGAGCCACCTAGAGTCCCGCCAAGATTTGTGTTTGATCATCGATTGAAGTAGATAAAAAATCAGATTTGAACCAAAAACTTTGAGATCTGAAGCCCTTGGTTTATTAATATATAGTATTACAGTGCTACAATGCTATTCACATGAGCCAAAAGATTAGGAAAGCTGAAAAAGTCACTCATGTTTTTCCAAAAATTAGGTACAGAAACGACACAAGGGTAAAGCTATTGGAGGTGTTATTTTCTGATTTTGTACGGTGGTTACAATATAATCATCGATTGAACAAATCAGATCAAAAAAAATCATATCTATGTTTTCACCGATTGAACCAGATCCAAACCAATCGTCAGAGAGCTCTAGTGTGTGTGTGTGTGTTTTTTGCCGGAGAAGACGCAGTCACCGAAGAAGCGTAGTCACCAAAGAAGGCTTCCGTCTGAGAGAGTTGGTGGAGAGAGAGAAAGACGAGGAGAGTGATAAGAGTCTGGGAGAGACAATGGCAAAAGAATTAAAAAAAAAAAAAAAAAGCTTGTATACTATGGCTTGTTTTGCTTCTAAGGGAACTCAAAGGAGATACCTCATTAAAGAGTAATTGTTCTATGTGTTTTCAAAGTTTTGGCAGAAATAAGCTTGAAAACAAGCTGAGCTTGTTTTTTGAGATTTTTTGAGATTTGAGAATAAAAAATAATTTTCAAGAATCAAACCAAACCACCCCCAAAATTTTCACCCTACCAATTTTTTTTAGGTGGGTGGGCTGGTTTTTTTTTTTTTTTGGGAGAGGGGGCTGTTAACCGTGGGTACTGAATTAACAAGCCAACCCATATTGATGTCTTGTCATATTAACCTGATTTGGCGGGGGCTACTAGTATCAATACTTAAAATTAGGCTTGGTAATAAAAAACACGGCTTGTGAAATCGATACGAATTCGACACGGATTTAGCGGGTTTGAATTTAATTTTAACGGGTTCAAATGATTAACGAGTTAATTCGGTAAACCCGTGAAATAAACGAATCGATTTCGTGTTTAATCCATAAATTCATTTTAACCCGTTAATAATGGCACCATAAATTCTAAAAAAAAATTAAGTCACTCAGTCTCTGTCTCATCTCATGCCTCCCCGTCTCTCAACTTATTTGAATTTGGTAGTAATTTAATGTTTATTTTTTGTCTTTACTTTTTCGCTCAGTCATGATTTATTGTTATGATAAACATGTTAATATGTGTGACGAGTTGATGATTTTTCGTGTGGACTCGAAATACTATGACCGACTCTCTTATTTAGCATGTGATACAAAAGTTATGTCGGGTAACTCGTCTAATATATGAGTCGTATACAAGTGATAGTTAGACCTATTTATATAAATAAATGAGGTAAGAATACAGAATTTTTTGACACAAAATTGTTTTATCCAACACGATTGTCAATTCTATTTAAAACCCTCAATCATTTTGGGCCCCATTGTTAAGATTGAGATAACTTACACAGATATCGTTTGTGTTTATATATGTATTAAAACTCTCTCTTTCTCTGCGTGCATGTATGAACATGGAATATGATATATTATACTTAGAAGTGACGAAAGTATGACATTTGTTTGTTNTCTGCCTTGTGCTCACCAAAGCCTTGCTCACCATAGCCTTGCTCTGCCTTGCGCTCACCGTAGCCTTGCTCACCATAGCCTTGCTCTGCCTTGCGCTCACCGTGGCCTTGCTCACCAAAGCTTTGCTCTGCCTTGCGCTCACCACAAATAAAATCAATCAATTGAAAGCCAATTCACTCCCACAAATGCATTCACATGCACACAAGCAAGGGCGGCGCTAAGACTTCCCCTCACAAATTAATAATTAGTAGATTCACGAAAAGATTTGGATAGGTCTTCAATTGATCTAAATCCAATTTAAACAATATCAAAAATTGATGAAAGAATTTAAGTAAAACGAAATTAATAGTTGATGGACTAAATGAGATAATTAAAAATTCATAGACCAAATTAAAATCGAATACAAATTTCGTAGACCAATTATAATTTTTACCCAAAAAATAGGTTCCAGTGCCCTCGCTGTACTTCTCTACTGTTAAAAAACTTGTCCTTCACTGTTGGACTCCAACTCCCACCCATATGCATTTTTTGCAATTATTTCAGTAATAAATCAATCATTTTGTATGGATAGAAGTCCGCCCACAACCAATCAATTTAAATCGACTTGGTTCAAGATGGATGGATGATCTTCAACGGAATACATTTGAAGTCACAAGCCGTGATGTTTGTTGTATCCCATGGGTTTCTTGGTTAACTATTTATTTCTCGCACTGCACCTTCACAAACTACAATGGTTTTACAAACAAGCCCAAGGAAAATATATTATTAGCATGTTTATCAACATACAGAGTAGAATCATTACATTTCCTTCCCAGCCTAAATAAGAAACACTTCAAACAGTCAAGCAACTAGGACAAAGTAGAAACCATATAAGATATTTCTGGTTTTCTTTTTCTTTTTTTTCATTATTCTTCACACCCACAAGCAGATCAGCACTTCACCAATAATCCATCAACCTACAAGACAAGCCACACAAAAAAAGTTATTTGATGTCAAAAGTCTATCCATTCATGTCAAAACGTAATATTGCATTTTGGCACGATTAGATTATAAAACTTTTAAAATATAAATATAACATTTAAACAATTTCCAAAATGAATAAAACCTTAAAACCTAAATTATAGATCCGTCCCTGCATTAACATATAAAACTTACCACAGTGATCGATGTTCTTCTCCTTCTCCTCGCCTTTCTACTCTTGACCACCCTTTCCATGGATCTTGCCCTTCACCTTGTCCATGAACCCACCACCTTCCTTCTGCTCACCATAGCCTTCCTCTGTCTTGCGCTCACCATAGCCTTGCTCACCATGGCCTTGCCCTGCCTTTTGCTCACCATGGCCTTGCTCTGAGCGCAGCTCACCATAGCCTTGCTCTGCCTTGTGCTCACCAATGCCTTGCTCACCATAGCCTTGCTCTGCCTTGCGCTCACCGTAGCCTTGCTCACCATAGCCTTGCTCTGCCTTGCGCTCACCGTGGCCTTGCTCACCAAAGCTTTGCTCTGCCTTGCGCTCACCACAAATAAAATCAATCAATTGAAAGCCAATTCACTCCCACAAATGCATTCACATGCACACAAGCAAGGGCGGCGCTAAGGCTTCCCCTCACAAATTAATAATTAGTAGATTCACGAAAAGATTTGGATAGGTCTTCAATTGATCTAAATCTAATTTAAACAATATCAAAAATTGATGAAAGAATTTAACTAAAACAAAATTAATAGTTGATGGACTAAATGAGATAATTAAAAATTCATAGACCAAATTAAAATCGAATACAAATTTCGTAGACCAATTATAATTTTTACCCAAAAAATAGGTTCCAGTGCCCTCGCTGTACTTCTCTACTGTTAAAAAACTTGTCCTTCACTATTGGACTCCAACTCCCACCCATATGCATTTTTTGCGATTATTTCAGTAATAAATCAATCATTTTGTATGGATAGAAGTCCGCCCACAACCAATCAATTTAAATCGACTTGGTTCAAGATGGATGGATGGATGATCTTCAACGGAATACATTTGAAGTCACAAGCCGTGATGTTTGTTGTATCCCATGGGTTTCTTGGTTAACTATTTATTTCTCGCACTGCACCTTCACAAACTACAATGGTTTTACAAACAAGCCCAAGGAAAATATATTATTAGCATGTTTATCAACATACAGAGTAGAATCATTACATTTCCTTCCCAGCCTAAATGAGAAACACTTCAAACAGTCAAGTAACTAGTAGGAAGTAGAAACCATATAAGATATTTCTTGTTTTCTTTTTCTTTTTTTTCATTATTCTTCACACCCACAAGCAGATCAGCACTTCACCAATAATCCATCAACCTACAAGACAAGCCACACAAAAAAAGTTATTTGATGTCAAAAGTCTATCCATTCATGTCAAAACGTAATATTGCATTTTGGCACGATTAGATTATAAAACTTTTAAAATATAAATATAACATTTAAACAATTTCCAAAATGAATAAAACCTTAAAACCTAAATTATAGATCCGTCCCTGCATTAACATATAAAACTTACCACAGTGATCGATGTTCTTCTCCTTCTCCTCGCCTTTCTACTCTTGACCACCCTTTCCATGGATCTTGCCCTTCACCTTGTCCATGAACCCACCACCTTCCTTCTGCTCACCATAGCCTTCCTCTGCCTTGCGCTCACCATAGCCTTGCTCACCATGGCCTTGCCCTGCCTTGCGCTCACCATGGCCTTGCTCTGAGCGCAGCTCACCATAGCCTTGCTCTGCCTTGTGCTCACCAAAGCCTTGCTCACCATAGCCTTGCTCTGCCTTGCGCTCACCGTAGCCTTGCTCACCATAGCCTTGCTCTGCCTTGCGCTCACCGTGGCCTTGCTCACCATAGCCTTGCTCTGCCTTGCGCTCACCGTGGCCTTGCTCACCATAGCCTTGCTCTGCCTTGCGCTCACCGTGGCCTTGCTCACCATAGCCTTGCTCTGCCTTGCGCTCACCGTGGCCTTGCTCACCATAGCCTTGCTCTGCCTTGCGCTCACCGTGGCCTTGCTCACCATAGCCTTGCTCTGCCTTGCGCTCACCGTGGCCTTGCTCACCATAGCCTTGCTCTGCCTTGCGCTCACCGTGGCCTTGCTCACCATAGCCTTGCTCTGCCTTGCGCTCACCGTGGCCTTGCTCACCATAGCCTTGCTCTGCCTTGCGCTCACCGTGGCCTTGCTCACCATAGCCTTGCTCTGCCTTGCGCTCACCGTGGCCTTGCTCACCAAAGCTTTGCTCTGCCTTGCGCTCACCACAACCTTGCTCTGCCTTGCGCTCACCATAGCCTTGCTCACCAAAGCTTTGCTCTGCCTTGCGCTCACCAAAGCCTTGCTCACCAAAGCCTTGCTCTGCCTTGCGCTCACCATAGCCTTGCTCTGCCTTGCGCTCACCATAGCTATTCTCTGCCTTACGCTCACCATAGCCTTGCTCTGCCTTGTGCTCACCATAGCCTTGCTCACCAAAGCCTTGTTCACCATAACCTTGCTCTGGCTTGCGCTCACCAAAGCCTTGTTCACCATAACCTTGCTCTGGCTTGCGCTCACCATAGCCATGCTCTGCCGTGCGCTCACCATAGCCTTGCTCTGCCTTGCCAGACTGCTTGTCACCTTCCTTGGAGCCTCCCATGCCTAGGGTCTGCTCTACTTTTTTGATAATTCCTGCCATTTTCTCTCTCTCTCTTCCTTCCTTTTCTGGTTTCAAATGGAATGGGTTGTGAGTTTTGATATGATGTGAAGAGAAATGAAGATCAAGGGTCACGTATTTATAGGCACAAGAAGAGGAGAGAGAGAATATCAAGTAATAGAAAACATTATCCTAAAGATTTTTGATTACCTGAATGCCCTCCCTACGTGTACGCCGCCGCGTCCACGGAGGTCCCACGGTTTACCTTAATCAAATATGATTTAATTTGAACTTAATTTTTTTAGTTAATCTTGGTGGATAATTTAATACTAATCCAACAAATTTATTTAATCTTGGTTTACATTGCAATACAACAGTGGTAGAAGAACAAGCAAACACAAGAGAGAACCATTATTCCAATGAAACTTTAATTTTACAATTCAAGATATAAAGATTAAACTCCTGCGAACAAAAGGTAGTTAGGATATCACAAATAACGAGAGGCCATTGTGGGCAACCAAATAAGGAAATTGTTTATTTGAAATGTGAACATTATAAATATAAGATTTAAAAGATCGACTAATGAAAAAAAAAAACTTAGAAAAATACAAATACCAATCATAAAAATTTGACTAAAAATAACTGTCACAATGTTCCAGCGATGATTGTCAACCCTAAAAAGTGGTACACACTATTATAATTATCGAATGAACTTAAGTCAAAGATACATACTTTATTTTTCTGCTGATTGTATTACTTAGTATCATACCTTTTATGATTTAAGTATCAAAGTGTTTTCGAGCAATTAAATTATGCTACTTACAAGTTTGGAAGTGTAATTTGTTCATAGCTTTCAAATCAAATTCCTGAATTACTCAAGGTCAAATTCGCCCAAATTTGTTCGTAGTATTCAAATCAAATTATTCAAGTGGTAAGAGAGACGAGCTATAAAATTAAACATCTTGAATTTGATTCGTAGTAAACCTTTGGAACCAGGCTATAAAAGATTTATCTATTGTGAATATTCTAGTCCCGACATATACCATGAGAAATTTATGTCTTTGACTGAACTGAGAAGGAGGTTAATTGAAATGCGCGTAACCTGATCCAAACACCTGACCATTGAGCCAAAAAATAAAAAAAATAATAATTCACCCACCCCCTATTTATATCTATACTACTTATAAATGTTGAAAAAAATTTGATTTCCTATTTTATGTCTAATTATTATAATAAAGTCAATTAGACCCACTTATATACTTTCATCTATTTTTTATTTTTTTACTCTTATTTCACTTTCAACTTGTTTTAGACATTTTTATAAAGATTTCCAAACGAACAATGTTACATGAACTTAAAGTGTATATTTGATAATCACAACCATTGATTTCACTATGGAACCCAATATTTTATTGGAATCTATTACCTATTCAATAGTTGTGATTATCAAATACATAATTTATGTCCAAATAATATTTCTCCTTCTAAATTCTTTTAAAATTATTTACTAACAATACAATTATATATAATTTTTTATAGAGAGAGTATAGTTATTAGATTAAATTTTATGATCAATATATGTTATATTTTATTTTTTAGTATGTAATAATATAATAATATTTAAATGATATAAATTATAAACGATCTAATCAATCTATTTAACAAAATAAAAAGTAATAATTATATAATCTATATAATAAATAACAATACAATTCAAATCTCAAAAGATAAACAAAATATTTTTTCCTTTCTGAGGTTGAGATCTCTTTAAATTTTACTTTAAAATTAATCTGATAACTAATTTTAACACCTCAAATTCAATGGAAAAAATAGACCTTTAAGGGTGTTTTTAGAACAAGTTTTTAAAATGTTTCTAAATCTTATAACTTTTCATAAAGACTTTAAAAAAAAAATTATATTTCNTCAACTTGTTTTAGACATTTTTATAAAGATTTTTAAATGAACAATGTTACATAAACTTAAAATGTGTATTTGATAATCACAACCATTGATTTCACTATGGATCCCAACATTTTATTGGAATCTATTACCTATTCAATAGTTGTGATTATCAAATACATAATTTACGTCCAAATAATATTTCTCCTTCTAAATTCTTTTAAAATTATTTACTAACAATACAATTATATATAATTTTTTATATCTACATGAAAAGGTGAAGTCATATATATATATATATATAAAGAGAGAGAGAGAGAGAGAGAGAGTATAGTTATTAGATTAAATTTTATGATCAATATATGTTATATGTTATTTTTTAGTATGTAATAATATAATAATATTTAAATAATATAAATTATAAACGATCTAATCAATCTATTTAACAAAATAAAAAAGTAATAATTATATAATATATATAATAAATAACAATACAATTCAAATCTCAAAAGATAAACAAAATATTTTTTCCTTTTAGAGGTTGAGATCTCTTTAAATTTTACTTTAAAATTAATCTGATGACTAATATTAACACCTCAAATTCAATGGAAAAAATAGACCTTTAAGGGTGTTTTTAGAATAATTTTTTAAAAGTGTTATAGATCTTATAACTTTTCATAAAGACTTTAAAAAAAAATTATATTTGGAACCACCCTACCACCACCACCGCCGCCGCCACCACCATAACTACCCCCTCCACTGCCCCACCACCATCACCACCACAACTATCGCCACCATCTTTGCCATAACCACCATTACCGCAGGTCCACACCCACCGCCCCACCACCACCACCATCAATACCACCACCCCCATCCACACCCCTACCCCCATGACCACCGCTATCGCCACCCTACCACCATCATCGTCGCCACCCCATCACCACCTCTATCACAACAACCACCACCACCACAATTGCCCCACCAACACCATCGCTGCCGCCACTGCCATTATCGCCACCCTACTACCACTATCACTGTCTCATCATCACCTCTATCACCACCACCCCTAATGCCCCGTCACCACCCCACAACTATCACCACCATTGGCATTCCACCACCACCACCATCGTCACCGCCATTACCCACATTGTCACCACCCCCACCACCATTAACAACATCGTCACTTACTACTGATTGCTATTACCATCGTCCACTCATCGCCATCGTCATCTCATTGTTATATTTATTACAACTACCACCATCATCCCACTACCACCGTCAGCACCCACCACCACCAATCGTCGTACATATTCGTTGTCAGCCACTGTTACACACACCCACCACCACCAGTCA